ATTATTATTATTATTATTATTATTATTATTATTATTATTATTATTATTATGTAGTTTATTTGTGAGTTCGAGATGGTCGTTTTCTGTGATTGTTGTTCTTTGCGCTGTTACGATGATGAAGACGATCTAGTTGATGCGTCCTAACATTGTGAATGACGTCAAACTCGATCTTCATGGTGTTTTTTTTTTGGTTTTATGTTTGCAAGAAAACTGCTGACATTGCTGTTGTTGTTGTTGTTGTTGTTATTGTTGTTGATGTTGCTGTTGTGTTCGATATGTTGAGTTGATGCTACTGGCATGATTCTTTGACGACGGGTTTTTGTACGCGTTGGCCGCTGAATTGTGGACTGTTTTGAAAGTGGTGGCAATCGTTGTGTGCAGATAGATATTCCGAACGAATAAAGAATCGGATTTGTTTTAGTGGGAGTTTGGTGGCCAATAAGTAATTTTCTTTGTTGCAGTTATGTATGAATGAATAAATGAATGTTTGTTTTGTTTGTTCGCTTATATCGCAAACAGTTTTTATCATTTTGTCTTGTTCTTTTATTTCATGATATCTCTTTTGTACTGTCAATTGTGGCAGTCAGTGTCTGATTCAGTTGGTACCATTGAAATTGTTTGTTATTTGTTTTGAATTTTGCACTACGAACATTTTGTACAGATAAGTATTTTGCACTAATCGTTGGAAAGCAAGTGTCCACGTCTTCCTCTCTCCGCCATTATATAACCCATCATGATGTGAATTGAATTTTTGCTTGAGTAATATTCATAATTCATTTTTCACGTAGCTCTCAGCAATTATACGATAACTTATTGGTTCGTTGTCGAAAATATTATCAGCGTTTTATATGCGTATGTCAGATTCGTGTTCTGCAGTCTAACTAATGTGTGTGTCTGTGTTCATTTTGCAATTTTGCTATTGAAGGAATAAGTTCGTTTCAATTGAGAGTATTCGTTCAGTTGGTGTTCTATCATGATGGTGTTTAGTAGTAATCATTTGCATTCAATAAATTGTTTTCTTTTTTGAAATCTCTTCATTATTGCCATATGCAAATCATACTGTTGATCCATTCGAACACGGCCGAATTAGATGAGTGTTTATTTGTAATAAGCAATATTTTGTTAGCAAAAGAACGCATTCACATTTCATTGATTGCACATAGGAAGAACGAAGTGGATGATTTTGTGTGGATGAATTTCATAATTGGTAAAAGAGTTCGCTTGAAATGAGTGAATGACCAAGCGATGTGAAATTATTCAATATCTTCAAAATTGCATCAATGAATCGTCATCATCATCCGACTATATTTGACGCATTCACTTTCTTATGAAAGTCTTCGACGAATGCTTTAACGGTTGGCATTTTCACCTGAAAGTGGTGGAATCAAGTGAAGATCACATTGCATGACATTGATTACGAAAGTAGATTAGATGAAGATAACACAGCAAACGGTCAGTGACACTGATCTGTGGATGAGATTCAGTGCATCGGGGAATGAATTTGGATTAGATGAGATGATATGAATATGAAGATTCAGTGTCTAAGAAGAGCACTGATACCCGAATGTAATCCAGTGCAGTTGTATGTATGAAAATGTATTGTGCCTCATTCTGAACACTGTAGCATCGTTGTTTGCGCATCTCAACCACAATATCTTTCACCTGAATTCGAACTCAATCAATCCAGATCACGATAATCTTCCATCCAAAACTGAACTGAAGTAAGAAACTGACATTTTCTCGAAGAGTTTCCAAGCAGGTTCGATCATTCTCGGTAACATGCGGAAAGGAGAACAATTCATCGAACATGGTGAAAATAATACCAATTCTTAACCGATGTCCAAACTCTACTCTAAGAGACTAGCGGAGAAGTGCAAACTATTCAAAGGTTCAAACCTTCAAAGCTTCGGCTAAGGTTCTATCTTAGTATTTGGCCATTTGCTAGGTTTCGGATTTTACTCGGTATCTCAACACTGTTGGTGTCATCATCCATTTTTGATTACGCTTAGGCTTTGGAAGATTCTACATTCAGCAATATTCNAGCTCGAATGTTGACACCTTTCAATGGGAAGCTTGACTCAAGATCACTGAACTTATAATGTGTACTGTGCAAAGAATTCTGACAAAAATGAAACAATGCTGTGCCGTTTGTTTGTGTCATTCGAATAATTGAAATAACTTAGTTAGTAAAAAAATTTTACATTGACTTCTCTAGCATTCCATAAACGCTGTAATATCGTATCAATCGCCACTATTGTCCCGGTTCTACCGATTCCAGCTGAACAATGAATCACACAGGGACCCTTCTGAAACAAGCATAGAAATGTTTCAGGTTATTTCAGGAAATGAGCCCGATTAAATTTGTTATGCATCTAGACTTGGTAGATTTTCATAACACTGTTGGTGTTATCATCTATTTTCGATTACGTCAGTCGAACAATTCATCACAATCCCCGGCATAACTCAACGATTGCAGCAAATTTCCTTTCTGTACTAATTTTTTTAAAAGAAGTTGACTGGAACTCACCGTCGGAATCATACGAATCAAGCGTAGAACGGCATAACCACTCGTTGGAACAGCACGATCAGGCCACTCGCTCATATGAAGCAAGCGAACTTTTAACATGTTCTTATCACCATCACCTTTTGATACTTTCAAATTGTAAACAGGAAATTTCCTTTCTGTACTCAACTGAAATTTGAAGAAGTGAAAATAGGAAATGTGAATAAATAAAATTTGTTCAGAAAACAACCCTATCTGAAACACTTAATTCATCTGATCGATTGCATAGTGGGCTCATACCTCAAATGGTTCATAATGATACCCGCTCTCGCGGATTATTTTTTCCCTCATATCAATATCCTCAACTCATATCCCGTCTTTGAGTGATCTTATTTCATCACCAATGAACCCTTTCGTCTGCCATTATCATGCAATCCCATGCAAAGTCCTCAGATGTTCTCGCTCTTCGTCGCTGCAGATCTGCAGCCCTCAACACCAGTCGAACAATTCATCACAATCCGCGGCATAACTCAGCGATTACTCGCGTCAAACATCATTTACCGCCTGGTTTTCGATGGTCAAAATGGAAAATCGTAGTTTAGTTCCAGGTTTCTCAGGCCAATATTGTGAGCATTTCGTTTTGCCGCTCTCAATTATTTTGCATAGCATCACAATTGTGGCAATAGATTCTTGATAAATCATACGCCAGAAGTCACCGATGGTTGAATCAAGTGGTCCCTGTAACAATTGCCATTCACACGAAAACTTCAACTTTTGATTCACACAGCTCTAACGAGAGAAACCAATCGAAGCAGTTGGCGACGAGAGTGCTAAGGTAGAGCAGAGAATAAGTACCTGAGTTGCGATATATCTTCGTTCACAACCCTCCATGTGCATCCAGTTCGCATGTATATAGTCAGTTTCTGGGGGTACATTCAATTTCAACACCACCCTATATATTCAATGAATGAATCAAAGTCGAGAAAACGTCCCATCAGTGGTCACATCAAATGAACATTGCAATGTTTTTCCATTTATAGACAGCAGTCTAACGTAATTTCGATGCGCTCATAAACAAACGAATCGAACAAATAACGAATGCCAAACAGTTATGCCCAATTTCGTTCAA